TATCACAAAATTACTGGCGATTTTACTATATAAAAGCGATGTGCAGAATCTTGCAATTAAAGCAGTATAGAAATCTTAGACACTGGGATATTCTAGAAGGTGGCCAATTTCTTCTTGAAATCTAAAAACGACCGGCTTTGTTCAACGAAAGCGTCTATAAAGACATTTCGTCAAGTGCATCGAAATAATTTGTGCGGAGTAATAAGTCTCCCTGGAAAACCATAATCAATTATTTCTAAAACATCAATATTATCGTCTAATATAATTTCTTCTTCCAACTCCATTTTCCAAGTAGTTAACACACGAACCGACTAGAATTTGCTAGGACGAAAACAAAACCTCGTCTTTATCTATAACAAAACCCTCAATTTCAAAGGTTATGTTATGTAGTTAAACTAGTTTAAGAACTTAATCCTCGGAGGTTGGCGGATTAAAGTTAAACGCGCTTAAGGTCAAAACAGTCGACGGTGCATACCGTTTACGCTTTTTAAACCGGTTTATGGCTTAATCGCGATTAAAGCCTGTCGGTGCATACGGGCATAAGTAACTCAGATCGGACAAGGCAGTCTTTAAAATAATAGATAAATTTGGTAATTCAGTTACTTCAACCTTAAATCTATATTTGATTTCATTTATTCGATTCGTCGTGATCACCCGAATTAATCGACTAAAACTAATATAAACAAGGTTGAAAACCGAACAATAATATGCTATCAAAATATTTCCACTTCTGATGGATACAAATCATAACATATTGTAACGGAAATGGCCTGGGGTACTCACGTTTGGAATGGGGGATCGAAATTCATGGTATTTCAGTAAATGGGAGCCCCAGTTGGGCCCCATTTACTGTCAAATATGACACTGACAAGCGGGAAGTTTCGCACCTGTTCTGGAGATTTCTAGAACTATCTGGAATACCTGGAGAAAAGTATATAAGCGACGACGAGAACCAGACAGGGGGAGTAAAGTGACAGGAGCGACCAAGTGCAGAAGAAGTTAAACTCCGGGAGCCGGAAACGCGTGTTTTCCGTGTGTTATTGTTAGTGAAGTTGACGGTAACTTTGAAGTTAGTTTGTTCCTGTTCCGTAGTTAAAGTTGTACCGAGTGGAATAAAAGTTGTAAGCTGAAGAAAGAGTTGAATACTCGGCCATCCACGGTACAATATCAATTCGTTCCCGTATCGACACATTCAATGTTTAACTTACCTTTTGAAATAGTTAAGGCTGGAGACCATTGAGACCTTAAAATATCAAGGCAAATACTACCGTTACTATTTATATTTGGATGGTAGATTCGTGTTGTGAATGCAACTTTTGGTGGCTTAAATGGGTAGTCTGTAGGAAAGTGAATCGTTAAGAAAAACACGCCACCCTGGTATGGACTGTCAGGCTGGAAAAAAATTAATCATTACAATTCTTTACTACTGTTGAAAGACAATTGTTTTGTACACTAATAAAAATGAGTGTAAGTATAGAAGTAAATACTCACTGGTCCCATAATTGTGGCTTGCCAATGAAACACTGCAAAGAAAAAGATGATTATTATAGAAGTAACAAAAATGATTATGAAATAATAAAAATCTTGAGAAAATGTTTCCTCCGAATAATAATTAACAGACAACCTCTTTTACCACCGACGTGTGCTTCAATTGGAAATTAAACTTTATGGATTTAAAAGGCACAGAGACACATGTCTATTTTTTCTTGGGACAATGAAATACTATATTAAGGTTTTCCCATACCCAACCAATCTGTAACAGCAATTCATTCATGTGCTTTTCGATTAAAAATTATTTCTTTGAGGCTACAGAATAAGTTACTTTCTGATCTGCAGTGTTAAAATTTTTACAACCAATCAATCACAATCGGAATAATGGGGTTTAAAGTAGTTTAAAGCCTAGAAGCAAGAGGAGTAATTTGGCTGAAACAAATTTATTACAGTAAAATATGACCGCCGGAATTAACATCCGTCTAACAACTTATTTACCTCTAATTACAAATTAGATAATTTTATCTGTCTATCAAAAATCGTTAAACTAATCCTTAGCATTGAATAAGTGCTTTTTTATTCAATATCTTTTTTTAACGAAATAAAAACTGCTTAAGTTGAGTTTGCAACATTAAAACCTGTTGTTCTATTTGTAATATGGCATATATTAAGAGACTGTTTCCAAATTGTCCTCGAGAATTGCATCGACTTCCCAAACACCCCGTATAATAATTATATCAGTAAAAGCAATAACTGGCGAAGTTACGAATTAGTAGTCAGTTAACTCGACATGAATCCGAAATAAATCAAACTGTAGGAAAACTGTTTCTCCTTAATGAGTTTCAGGTGTGATTTAGACCAAGTGACTATGAAGCGGTGGTATGTTGCAAAATAGAGATGTGAATAAAAACGTGTTGATTGACGAAACACACATTCAATTATTCGTAAAATATGAAGAGGATCTGGTGTACGTTCCGATATGGTTAAGATACAGATGAACCGTAATAAAATCCGTCGGCCAGATTTAAACTATTAAACACAGTTTGTGTAGCCTTTGAAAGTCTGTTGCGTGAATTGATGAGAAAAACAAAATATTAACTCAATTTTAGATTATGTACTTGTACAGATCCGTTCCTCCTCCTACTTACTGTTGATCATTTCAAGTACCTGCTGTGCATTTTAGTTTTTGTTTACATGGAAAGCAAAAACAACTATCAAGTTTGCTCTGATAATTATTAATATTAGAACAAGTCAATTGAACTCATTTACAATTTTTTTTGTACCAATACAGGAAAATATGTACCACACATGTACACGTACACATGCGTTCGTCCTAAATAGAATTGTGAAATGCTGTACCTATTTTTGACGAATGTGAATTAAATTGCCTCCATTCAAGTTGGTCGTTCTACTCACATGTAACTTAGTTCTTAGTTGTTAATAAAACTTTCTTCTGATGAGAAAGTTTTCATATCCACACTTGTAAACGTGCATTCAAAATTGTAAAATTATTTATTGCAAGTCATTTTCCTTTGAAAAATTATTCGCGTTCTTTCAGATCGCTTTTTTTAGTTTATTTTGAATACAACATTGATGGTAACGTATTTATTTAAGTAAACACGTTTTAAAGTGTGTATTAAAGAAAGTGTTATTAAATATTTTAATTCTCAGATTAATTGCAATTGGGAGTAAAAAGTCGAGGATATCTTGCTTTTTAAGAAAACTGACCCAATTAAGAGGCAATATATGTCTAATAATCGAACCCATGCATTTGATGACATAAATCCGTGGATGAAATCCTTCATAATAAAACACGAAGTAAAGAAATTATAAGTCTGATCATAAAAAACTTTCCATACTGAAACCAAACATGCCTGTCTGTTGTCGATGGAACCTTATTTAAATTTGTTACATATTTTGCATCAGATTTTGGCAAGCAATTATTTTAGTATATTACAACCTCAGTTTTTCCGTCTTTGTTTAAAATATTGTGCTACGAAATCGTTTAAATAAAAAGGACAAGCTTAATCAGCTGGTCAATAACCAATTCGAAGACTCATTCCAATGGGTTTATATCGGTTAACAGCGATTATTCTATAAGAGTTTATTTGCAGCATTTTGTCTATAAAACCAACTCCATTAATCATCTAAATAAGATTTGTGTTTTCATTCATCAATTTTAAGCTTTATTAAACTCTTCAATGGGTTCGGCTACATGTTTCAAACCGGTTGCACAATAAACCTATTATCTGCTCTTTTCAGAAATTTACCAAAAAGTCGATGAAACTCATGAGCCATCAACTACTAGCCGCCGAATCAAAGAATGGAAAATAATTAGAAGAAAACAGACAACATTAGACACTACTACTGATTCAGGTCGTGAGAATCAATGCTTGGTGGCGAATAAAAGTGTGAAAATTCACCATACCCCTGATCTGAAGAACGGACAACTATAATAGACCTGTAAACTTTCCATAAGCAATAACACTTTTATTCGGGTGTTAAGCAGTGTACATTTTAGTAGAAAAACTGGGGTTGATTAACGGAATTCAATGCTTACAAGTGTTCTGGTTGCAAATGCATTTGCTTAGATTACCGAAATTATACTCTACCCACATCAAGATGTAAGACAGTATTTTTTCTCAAGAATACCTTATGAAATGTCTAAAAATAATAAATTTACAATGAATCTTCGCGACTGAAGTAAAAAACTAACAATTCCCTAGCTTCTAGGAAAGCTTGATGAAATACACATTATCACAATTGAGTTTCGAGTGAAACATGGCATGTCCTCAAACATGTAGTTAACACAACGGAGCCGGTTATTTGTCCTTTCTAAGCAGAATTCCGTCGATTTCCAGTTGATTCAAGGGATGAGAAATAATTGTTGAAACAACTGTTTGGCACCGAACAGACATAGCTCAGTGCAATATAATTAAAAGCACGTAAAGGTAGGTCACTAAACATCTGATATGGAGTGTTAGTATACAGTCCTGACGGAAATAGATGATTTAAACACGGATACTTTCGTTAATTAATTAAGCCCGAAGTTACAGTTACTACCCAACTGGTTTCTCTCCAAGGTTCCAGAAGTACGATAAGATTAGCATGGGGATGTCACAAGTGTATGTAAAAGGTGAGTCATCATAAAACAATTCCGAGCTAAAAAGTGCACTTACAATCATCGCCAACAGGTCCTGCTGAACATTGTGCTGGAGGATCTCTTCCAAGATCTTGTAATTCCTAAAAAAAAAACAGAAAAATAATTAACACCTTGGGTTTACCTTCTGAGATAAAAATAGACACTTGAAAGTCAGAGGCTGAATATGGTGAGGTTAGAAGCATGTGCTTGCAATCTATCTGGAAAGGTTTTTTTGGCTAAACTGGGAAAATATTCGATGGGCGGAATCCGTAGTTTAGGTCGTTGACAGGGTTGAAAAAACGGGGTTAATTTCAGGGTAGTAATTCTTACTAAACAGGGGCAGGCTAAATTTAATGATTGCATGTTCGGTAGGTATGGAGTGGGTTCTGAAGCCCCGATTTCTTGAAAAGTTCCCAAGTTAATTAGGTGACTAAACACATTAGCAAAATCTCCATTTTACAGCTAGATTCTCCTATAAGCCTTCAGATTGCATTTCACATACCCACCGAGGGCGTTTATCTGGCATCGAAAATACCAGCGGGATATTGACACATTTTACCTGGCGCAGTAATCAAGAGTTTAGCTTACCTTATTAATTCGTTTTAAAGCCATTTGATGTACTGTATATGTAATAAATACTGGTTTTTCACCAGACAATGGAACGGTCAACCAAGGACCTCTCTGTCGACTGCAAAGATGGCTTCCTTCAAAACACGACGTAAATCAAATAAAACCTTTAATTTCTATTTCGTGAAAATTCCAGCGGCAGGGCAGAATTTTTTTGAGCTCTACTAAAGCAAAATTAAGCTCACAGAAAGGAGAGTCTGCCTAGTCACATAAATTAGAAAATACCTAGTGTTTAAGAAATAAAATGACTGATTATTTCCGTGGCAAATTTCTCTATTACATTTTTTTAGTTACTATAAAAAACGTAAAATCCCTACATGTACCGGCTTTGAAGGATTCTGTAAACTGTGCTTGTTAAATTTTGATCTAACATAACCAAGTCCCGCTAAGATGCCGCCACATATTTATAATATTTGGATGAAAATTAAACATTAAATTAAAAATCTGAAATAAATCTAGGATTAAAAATCAAACACCAGGTCATTAAACATCACAAAGTTAACTCCTGTTAATTTGAGACAACGGCTATATAAACTGTGCCTGTTTCATTTCATCTACATCCCAGACAGAGATGCACATAGTTGAAACGCGTATTTTAAATAATCTCACAATAACAACAGTATATTTAAAAATTCAGATCATCAATGCTTTTTAAATTAATTTCCAGTAAATTAAAGTGGAAAGGAAATTAGTTTCTTACAGGAAAGGGGAAATTATTGCGTATTAACAATTCTTCGCTCAAAATAAAATATAATATTTAGGTTGTTACCTAGTAAATATTGAATAATTTAACATTTTATTACTGAAAAACATAAGAAAGCTCAGTTTTGAGAGTGTAAAGATACATGCTGGTCTAGGCGAGCTCAAAATTACCAACATCAGACAATATTATCGCTCTTGACAAAAAAGCGAAGTGTATTTCTTTGTCAAGTTTTGCTTAATCATTCCTAAAAATGCTCTAGTAGCTTAAAATCGGTTCAGAGTAATCAGCATCAATAGTTTATAAAATTTAATATTTATCCATAAAATTATGATTTCTGTACTACGGTGGTAAAAAATTTCGGGATACGTTTTTAGTTTTTTTGTCTTTAACTGAAGCGTTTTCACCAACCAACCTTCACTGCAATGTAAAACTAAATATGTACTTGGCATTGCCGTTAATAAGTGATTTAAAAAAATGGGAACAAAGTGCAAACCCCAGATGGAAATTATCGCTTAAAAACAAATAAACCGCAACTGCTTGAAAAGACTTCAGCAACGTTCAGGAAATATTTCCTCTACAATTTTCCGTTGAAACAACAATACGGTTTTGCAAAACCAACATTTTTTCAAATAATCGCTGTTTTTTATTTGATTTTTACTTAAAATAAAACGTACTTTCCATGTTTTATTAACTTCATATCATTTATAGTCTTTAACATTAATATACTGGTATGCTTAAAAATATTTCATAATGATAATAAAAATTAATTTTATTAAGAGCCAGCCTGGAACACAAAAAGCTACAGAACTGAAAGTCGAAAAGCACAAAAATTGTTTGAACGGATTTGAAGTAGACCAACAAATGAAAATACGATAAAGCTAAGAGCCCTTAAAAAGTACGAAAAATTCGAGATGCAAAAATATAATAATGTTAAAAAAACAACAAATTTCTGGTAAGAGCACGTATAAGAATCGAAAATTAATAAAACTTAATACAGAATGTATCAAAATTGTCTTCATCAGTTATTATTATTTTCCCCAACTTTCAAATATTTTCTTATAAACTTTTCTGCACATGCAGCCTTTTAGAACCTATACATAATTATTATTGGCTTATTAAAATTAATTAAGTTTCACCATTCTTATTTTTAGTAACTTGTTCTTCGATTTTTTGCGGTTTGCGAAATTTTTAAGCGGTTGATTCGTTTTAACATATTCTAAAAAAATGTATTCACAATTTAGTTTTTCTGTTATTCAAAAAGCTATTTTCGCAACTCCCTCCGCAGCTTTATGTTTTTAATTCCGAACGTCTTAATTTTTTAATTAACAAAAATGTATTTTACGTTTTATCGCGAACTCTTAACCAGTCGCAAACTTAAATTGAATCATTCTGTATACATTGCAAAATTAATCATATTTAATTGAAAGAAAAAAAGTCTAGTAGAAAATCTATTTAATAACATATCATTTTTATATTGGCTCTGCAGGCTAACTTGTTGTAGGTTTACTAAAAATTCACAAGATAGCTAAAAACTTTCTCAGAAGATTTATTCAACATCTCGCTTCGATGTTGTGTATAACTTTTCCAATTTAACGAACCATTTCTTCAGTTTGTTTTAGTAAAGGCTTGCCCGTGGTACGAGTCGTTTTACTCTGTCCGTATGTTAGTTTGGCCTCATTCTTTTGCTAACCGCGATACTACAACGATAGAAAGTTTTGTTTATTTTTCAGCAGTGTATACGAATTTTATTCGAAATTCTAGGGTAGTAAATTGGATTGTACACTTCATCTACCGGTGAGTTATTATTTGAATTAATTTAATGTTTTTTATAGATCTTTATTAACCAAAAACTAGTTTAAAACCTTAATTTAAAAAAATAATACGTTTATATGTATAAATCGGGTACATGCTAAATAACTGTTTATTGCGATCGCTCTTGGAGGATGGTGGCTTCTTCAGCTCGATAGCTTTTAATTGTTTATAATATTAATTTTATTTTTAATTAACAGTGGAAAATTATTACCAAAAGCTTTTGAACCGGTTTTTTTTACAAAAACCCACTTTTTAGATGCATATTAATTTTTACGTTTGAAACAATTACAGTAGGTAACTATTCTACGTTTGCAGTTAAATAACATTGCAAAACTTTTATTTTCAACTGTGTATATTACAATTAAAAATAATTCCTATATATTCCGACGACGCTAATGTTAGTCGATGTGAAAGAACAGGAAAGTAAAATTTTTGGTATTATTAGCGCTAGCCATTTATTTAAGTAATCCGTTAAACTTTCACCAATCAGAAACGCGAATAAAGAGTGTTGTTTCCTCAATAATCATATGCATATGTATACTTTTTGGATGAATATATTAAATGTTTTTTGCAAAAACTCGTGGTATAATGTTTAATGATTTCACTAGAACAAACTGTTCAATTACTAATTCAAAGTGCCTGTTAATTTTAAGAAGACTTATATATTGTAAACTCCCATTAACTCTTCAGTACAAATAAGGATAATTTTATTATTAAATAAATCTGATTAAGTAAATATAATTTGTCCCATACCTGAGTCCAAAAGTTATTTTTCTGTTTTAGCGTGTTTGCTTTTCTGTGTCATTTGCATGCACTTGAAATTGCAACATTTCTCCATGATTGTGTGCATAAAATCCCGGTATCTTAGTAAAAATACTAAATGAAATGTTTATTTTCAAATTACTTTCTTTACTGCATTATTTGCAGTCTTCCCTGAATCAGATCGCTTTTTGTATTTATTAGCATGTTAATGTGGTCAATTAGGAAATTTGTTTGTCCATAATTTTGCCAATATTCAGAGGATTTTTTTTAGCTTCCTATTGTAAGAATTATTCTTTAAATATGTCCTGATTATGAGATTTATTTTAGAGTCTTCACGTCTGTATGGTTTTAAGCTGATGCTTTCTACATTATTTACTATTGCGCTTTTCGTATTTTATATGAGGATAAATTAGGAAAGTTACGAGCACACTCAGCACGTTTTAAAGTGAAGTAAATTGTAATATTCCATACAGATTATAAAAAATAAATGTTAATAAGTATTAGAAGAATTGTTAAATCACAAAGCAATTAATAAAGAAATATCTTAAAATAAATCAAAGAACTAATCTGGAAGTGAGTGAAATTTAAATTATTACTTTTCATCAGATAATTAAAAAATTAATTAAAATAAACCTTTAATAATTAAACTAAAAGATTCTGACGAATTTTCGCCATTATTTGACTGACTTTTTCAAATTTCCCTTTTGTCGTAAAATGCTTTTACATAGACATCTTTATTCTTTAATATCTCCTAAGAATACCGACAATTTATATTCTAGTGTTTTGCTCAAATATTATCAATGAAATCGCAATGAAAGCCAATTTCAAATCAAAGGCAGTTCAAATTGGAACTATTTCTTCTTCAACGAAAATTTATTCAAGATGATTTTTAAATTAATAATGTTTTTGCTCTAGATATGACGGTAACTATCTGTGCCAAGACGGAAATGATGTCGGGAGATTCATCGGACAACGAAACCTGCTGCCCAACATATGATGATGGTTCGAAGGTAAGTAAAAGCTCTCTTTATCTATGAGTAAAAGGCCGATTTTATAGAAACATCGGCTACAACTTCGACTTTCTATTCAAATGTGTCTCTCAGATGTAAAACGGTTTTATTGACTTATCATGCAGATGCCTCCCAGCTAGCAGCTCACACTTTTTAGACTAATTTCGCATCGCTACACTCATTTCTAATTGGCTTCCACCTGAATAATTAATAGCTTTTTTGTAGACTGAGGCTAATCTATATCTAAACTATATTTTCGCTCAATCTGATTAAAAAAATGTTGACCTTTATTTATTTAACAGCAGTGAAAGTAGTGCTTTCTTTGAGAGCATATTGGATATTATTCCGGATGTGCAACGGCTAAAATTTGCGGTTTGAAAAAAATCAATCAATTTTCGGACTTTTTTGTGAATTGCAGCAAAAATTTTAAAGTTGTTCTAAACTATCACAGATCTAAAGGGTATATTTGGTATTTGCTAAAAATGTAATTAATTCAAATCTTGCTAAATTAGTGGAAAATCCAAACTAGAAAACTTTTACTTAGATATTACGACGAACATTGTTATGCCCAACTATGCGTGTTTTAGGCTTTAAGAATTACCTAAAAACGCGATTATTTGAATTACGTATGATTGTAAAACACCGTACTTTGATCATCCATAAAGTATCATAATGCTGCTGCTTTCACCTGAGAGATTTAATATGGCCATGTTCAAATATCCTGTTATATGCAGTGCTAAAGTACAATCTTATTATGCCAAGCATTATTTCAATAAGGAAATTTTAAAAACGTTGAATGCAAAAATGTGCTCTTTTAGAGAATAATACACCTTTGCTCTAGGCTTTTTCGGTGCACTTTAGTATTTTAAAAGTCTATTCCGGTCTGCTTAGCGGGATTTTTTTATACGCTTACTGAATTTCCAGAAATACAATTTACAAAAACTGTTTTTGCTAAAATATCCATTAAATTCACTACATTGTACGTAAAAAAAACTAGGAATATCACCGTTTGCATTGCAAAATTCACTTGTTATTGTCCTTTAGAAAACAATAACAGGTCATGACCGAGTGTCCATATATATTAGTACTTGCAAATGCACAACATTGAATCTAACTGTATAAGGCAACTAATATAGGTAGATCTTATTAACGCGTTACGGTTTCGTTCTTCAAATATAAATAAAAATTCGCCTCATGTGTACAGCAGACGCGTGTATGCTCGTTAATATGAGTTCGAGTACTCAATATGTACTTGTTTCAATGACCTTTACTGTTTATAACTACAAGTTGCCTAACAATAAATAATAAAATACATAGGCATAGCTACTCAATTCGAACAATTGTTCAATCGATGTTTTAAATTAAGCTGGTGCATTGTTTGAAATGCTTTCAATATCTATAAAAAAATCAGGCAGTTAATGAAGAAATGAAAAAATTATCAGTTTTCCTAATTTATTTTTGAATTTTAAGTCTTTTAAATTTGAAATTTCTATTGCAGAAAGCACAGCATCTCGTTGACCATACCGAATCCCTCTTAGAGGATCTGAGTCAAAACGAAGACGACGAAGAAGATTCAGAAGTTTCCGAAATATGCGAAGAAATCTACTACCAAAAAGCCCGACAATTGTTGAGTTTCGAAGAAGCTCCTGGCTACATCAAACACAATGTATTTATCAGGAGCGGGTATCGAGGGTTTTTAACCACCGAATTATGTAAAGAAAGGTACAAGGAAACTTTTGTTTTAAGTTTTAGTTTAAAGCCTAGACCGTTTTTTGCAGCGTCTTTTGGTGGACGAACGAGACAATAAATATTTGGTCCCACATATTTGGATTCGTGCTTTTCATCAGCCTATCCGTACACGACTTAATGATTTTAAGAATAGACGCCCCACTTAGCGATAAACTTATAGTTGGCACTATTTTGATGTTTTTTCAAGTAAAGGAAACTTTCTCTATTAATTAGCTTCGGCTAAATGTGGCGTTTTTTTAGGTTTGCATGGCATTGTCTGCCATATACCATACCTTCTGCTGTAGGTCTGAAGAGGATTGTTATTATTTTCTCTCGTATGATTTGTTTGGAATCGCCTTATCTTTGTATGGAATTTATGTGTCTGGGATATATTACGCTTTTTGGTGCGACCAGGTAAATTATTTATAAATCAACAGCCAATTCTTAAGGACGGTAGCGGACATCAATATACAGGGTGATTGAACACTGTCGTCATTCCTTTTAAGGGGTAATGAGGGCTCACTTGGAAGGTACGAAAAAAATATTAAAATTATTTTTAACAGTTAAGATATTAACAGTTGAAAATCGAATTTCAACTTTGTTATTAAGCATTATTTTGAAAGTGTTCCATGTTTAATTGGAAGCATATTGGAATACTTAAGCATTTTTGATATTAAAAAATATATATATTATCTTCTACAATTTTTTGATGAAAAATCTAAGCGGCAATGATGTTTTTTGGCATTAACAGATAGTTACAGGTGGGTAGCCCTTGTCAATAACAACAATAATTTGTCAAGCTGTGTCTTTTCACGATTTTGCGGATATGCGATTAGTTCAGGGGAAATGCTACAATAACATAGCAGAAGAAGAACATTGCACAACAATTGACATTTTCCAGGCACCAAATAAATACCGGCTACATTCCTACCACGTATGTCAGATCACATTAAACCAATGCATTACTGAACACCGGTATAAATTGAGCAGGAGTTAATTAACCGAATACTAGAAGCTGCTCGAGAAGGGTGCATAATAAGGTGATTACAAAGGTACTTGTTTGGAGTAACAGACTCAAATGTATGTTTTGTACTTTGTAAACAAATCACTTTCTCTATTTATCCATGGTTACCGGAGTTTTAAATAATTACGAAGCAACAGGTATCTACGTAATGTTAATTAGGCAGATTACCTTGAAAAACATTGTTGCCGTTTTTCTAATACAGTCTTTTGCAAATTTCTCGGTTTTTAATAACAATTAATTTTTGTTACAAATTTTTTCTGCAATCCTAAAACACCGCCAGACAACACCTCCAGAGGAATGACGCCAATTTTGAAACACCCTGTACACAGATTTTGTTTAACAAAAATGGTTAGCGATTTCTTCATATTAATAAAAGTTCATTTTTAACACTATATCTCAAAAACTAATGTTTTCTTAATGTTTTCTGCAGCACAAAATTTCGTGTGTATATTTATGAAACACCCTGTATAGTGCTTTAAGTCAATTAAGTTTGCATTTATGAAATGCTTCTCCCCCTGTGCAGTTTGGTGAATTAAATAAAGGGGATTTACTTTTTTGCTCTAGAGGCATCCGCCGTTATGTCAATAAAAACTACTAAAATACTACAAATTGTAAAGAAAATATGTATAATTTTAAATTAACTATTTAAAACTTTGCGCACTCAAAGCACTAAAATAGAAAGAAACAAGACTTCGACGTTATTGGTTTGTGAATTGCAGGCTTAACTTTTCATAATTTAAGTTCGTTTTTCAGCTTATGCAACATTTTTACCTAATTTCCGTAACGGGGATATTTGTATTAGCGATGGTTCTTCAGATACCGAGTCTAGGAATCAATGATAATGTGAAAATATCCACTTTTGTATGTTGGGCAGCATATGGAGTTGTACCCACTTTTCATTGGGCCAATTCGCTCGGTTGGTTTGAGAGTCCGGTAGTTGCTGTAAGTATTAAAATTATATTAAATGGCACCTAATTGAATGAAAAGTGAATATAACAACGACGGCAACAACGGGGTATAAATTTATATAGTAAGCATTGTTTATAGCGCGTGATAAATAAAAAGTTAACAATAAGTATCGGATATCAACATGTAATAGTTGGATTTTCGAGAAGATGCATTCTAAAACCTTTCAACGGTTTTACTTTTTTTGAATTCGTATCTAGTTGCTGTCTTTATTGTTTTATAATATTTTCACTAGATGACCATTTCATTCATGTAGGAACTCTGTTTCATTTCATTACTCGGAAAAACTTGAGATAAATCCGAAATATTGACTCACAGCAAACAGTATTATCGAAACCAATTACAGGCCCTAACTAATCTCCAAATTATAATTACACTTTTAGGTGAATTATATTTGTTTGAATATTTATTTGAAAGTAATTTTCAACGCTTTTTTCTAGTTGCTTCTTCCAAGAGTTCTAGGTATGTATTTTATCAGCGGAAGCGCTTTCCTAATCTACATAACGAAAATTCCGGAACGATGGGCCGCTGGAAAATTTGACTATTTCGGCCATTCTCATCAGTGGTGGCATTTATTCGTTGTTGGAGCTCTGTATTACTGGCATAACACTGGCATGATCTACGTGGATTATCGTTTAAACCACGCGTGTGCTAACAGTATGAGAATACCGTAAAAACCAGAAAACCTATTAGGAGAGATGAATAGAAGAGCGTGTTGTATTGTTGTGTAGTGTAAATATTGTATTGTGCGAAATATTTGCAAATTTCATTGGGTTTAGCCAATTAAAAGTCGTTGTCTTCTCATTGTTGAGTTGAACGTGTCTTTCGATTGGTTCCTACTGAATTAGCAAAAAATACTTTTAAGTAATTTAATGTTATTTTCTATATTTATCGAACATTTAATTAACTGGAATGTTAATACTTGTAAAGGTGTTATTACCTTCTTTTAGCTGAAATAGTTTCATATTTAAGAATGAATGAATTGAATGTCGCATACGCACTGCAATTATTCTTGCCAATTTGTTTAATGTGATTAGGTTGTTTTACATTATCTGCAAATTGAATCTTATTTCATTATAATTTTTTACTTTAGATTAATTTATGTTTTATACCATAAAAACTTAAATAGTAGGTACGTTTACTGTGATAGTTAATCTATGTTTGAAAATATATGTTATTTTTCTGCAAAAAAATGCTCATTTGCTTGTTTTTTATTATTTAAATAACAATTCCGATTTAGGAATACTTGCACCCATTAAAAATCTCATTTGCAGATGAAAGAACATGGATTTTTGGTGCGAAGCACAGCAATAAAAGGTAAAACTTCTTATTTAGAGTGATTCAGATGCATTTGCAAGTAATGTTTGTTGTAATGGTTTTCAAGAATTCCTAATAGGCGCAGTATGAATGTAAAGAGCATGGAAGGAAAAGCCACCGCGCAACACAACAGCAAGAAGTATGGCGTCGGTCTTGAGCCATTGATCCCCAACTTGTGCCGCCAACTCCAACTGGATTTGCCCGGATCTGGGCCTTCCTTCATAATTCTTTTTTATGGTCTCATGTGCCACCGGCCAATGTTCGCAACGTATCTTTACAGCCACCTTCTGTTGTTTTGACTTTATTGAGATTAGTTTCATGGTTTTTATTCATCATTCTTTCCGGGCTATATTATCCACATTAAAATTTATGTGCTCTAAACACATTGATAATAATTTGTCTCTTCTTCATCAAATAAATCACTCTTTAATAGTACTATTATCGGGTTTAGTAGTATATTTACAAATGGCATACAACCATTTTAGTACTATTCTTTTTTATAATTGTGCTTCGTTCTTTATTTTTGGTGGCCCTCCCTCTTGCCGCCACGACTTCTTTCTCTCCACGGAGTCGGACCTTAATTTGTGTCAATAATTCAAAGGAACGAAAAAGGAAACCTTTTTCGAAATTGGAAGTGTTTTATACAGGGTTGCTCATTAGTGCGTCAAAGTGCGATATCTCAGTAAATATGAACTTTACAGGAAAATACGTCCTACGAAAGTTTTTCATGTTTAAAAGGTCCACATTTTAAAATTACTTTCCAATATACGGGGTGTATCATAAACGTGTGGTAGTTACCAACTTTGGTTTTTTAAATGGAACCGCCCCTTTTTTCATTCATTTTCAGATTTGTCGTCAAAATTTAAGTTAAGTTTGTGTCAAACGTTTTACCTGAAAAATTTACGATTTCCGAGTTATTCGTAAAAATGTGAAAGTTTTGACAGCTACTGGGTTCCACAGAAATCGATGCTGTACACTACCCGCTGCGAATTTTGGAAAACAGTTGTCAGCGATTCTAACAGAACATCATGATCTACGCGTAGATATGTTTTAAATTATAAGAAAATACTTCTAAACCGCGCAATTAGCCTCTAAACTTGCATGTTTTTAAACCTCAAAAAG